GATGGTGCAGCAGTAGAAGTTCTTGAGCACCTTCAGTGGCAGATGGAAGTCTCTAAGTCTTCTGAGGAAGAAGAGACGCTGACAGGCTTTCTTAACCAGGGTGTTGATTTGGTGGTAGTCTTCCGTCTTCAGTGTTCATCCACTTTGTGCAATGTATCAGTACCACAGGTAGCAAAACAGCCCCAATGCATGATGTTACTACCACCTCGTTTGACAGTGGTACAGTAGTTTTAGATTTAAAAGCCTCACTTTCAATGGTGGTTCTTGTTCTATTCCTGAAGATCCACACCAATTTCCTCTCATCTGAGGAAGACAATTTGGCTCTTCTTCCAGACCTTCGCAAAGTGGTTACACATCACATCCAAAAATTTGTCCCTACATGCAGTTGTTTGAACTGATTATCTGCAGGTTTTTTTAGAAATGGTTCCAAGAGACCTTCGCAAGTAGGGAAGGTCTCCTTTTCAGACCTTCGCTGAGTTGCTTGGGATTTCACATTGTACTGAGTATTTGTCAATCCAATAAGTGTTGTCAAACAAATGTTTGGTTTTTTTTATTTGACAGAGAGAAGCTACCAGATGTAGTCAGTTATAATCACTTATGAGAAGTTAAGAAGCCTTGGCCTTGTCAAGTTAAAGGACATTGTAGAAGGGTGTAGCATATATCTGAGCTGCGTGAAGTCTTTTTACCCTGCATGTATTAGAGAAAATCCTAAATAAATTCAAACTTGTGCACCAAATTATTTTTTTTAATTCATTAAAGATGTATGCTATTCGACCATTGAAAAAGAACCGTTCAAAGAAATCAAAGAAAAAGCCCAAAATCACTGTGTAATTCATGCACTTGATGAGTAGAAAGTAATGTAAACTTCTACCTACAAATAGTAACAAAATACATTTTTACTTGTTTTGTAACATTTTGACATTTTGTACTTTTATCCATATATGCATCACTATAATATGCAGTGCGTTAATATTTCTGGCCCCACAGTACAGGGAGACAAGATTGTCTTGAGAAAAAAATTGATATACTGGGAGGCACCACACACCGTGTTTTCTCTTCAATTATTAATTTAGTCATTCTCTTTGAAGACAAAGAGAACACAGGAGACTTAAATGCATGCAGGGGTGATAAAGCCTCTGCTTCATCAAACAGCAAGATTGGCCCGGTGAACCTCAGAAGCAACAATAGGTTTTATTCAAGACTTCAATTCTCAACTCCCTTTGGCTTTCTTCCAGCAAAAAGCTCTGAAATACACCACCACAGTGTCTGCCTATTATAAAAACCCTCTTAAAACCAGAAACAGGCTACACCCATGAGTGAGCAGCAATTTGACAAACGGACAGGAAGCTGAGGTCAGTGTAGCACACCGTACCTGCCACAGCTGGCTCTCATCCAATGTAATTTGGGCCCCGTCTCTTCATAACATCCCTGTAAAAATGAAAACACAAAAAAGAGAGAGAAAGAGGCAGGTCAGACGATGTAATGAGACTTGAAGAAATAAAGTATACAGGAGAGGACAATGGCAGATTAGATCGCATGGAGTATGAGTGGCTTTCAGACTTAAGTCTTAACATTTTAAATAATGTGTTTTATTGAGGCTGAAACATCACCGGGAATCTCTAAAAAGAACCTCTTTAACTTGAATAAATGAATTTTAATTTACTTAAAAGCTGAACCCATTCTGTCAGAAAATAAAACAAAGAATCAGCTTGCACTTCTCTAAACTGTGCACACACAAACGCTTTCCTTCATGTAAACTGCATAAAGTCTCAGCTGAACTCAAATAGATCTTGACGTGAGTTTTAAGTGTAATCAGCCAATGCCTGATCAGTATGCTGCAGCCACCGCCACTATCTCCCCTAACTGTGGCAACAAACAGGAGGAGAAGGTGGAGGGATTTATCGGCATATGCTCTTTCATGAGAACTTATCATTCAAGACCCACTCACGCCCAGAAAAGGTCAAATGAAATTCTCTCATATCAAATTAAGGTTTTCAATTGATTAATAAGCCTCAGTGGCAGATGCTGAGCCTGCACATGGCAAATTTCGCAACACTTTCACGTTTTCTTTTACCCGGTGTGCAACACCAAGTAATACAACCCTAATTTGAAAATTATGTAAAAAGGAAATATTTCAGTCACAGGACATCAGTATGACCTGCTTGGATGTCCTCCTGTTGTGGTAAAAAGTCAACTAAGTTTGTGTCTGAAATCACTCCTTCACCACATTTATCACTCCCATTTTAGTAGGCAGGTACTACATGGTGAAAATAAACCATGTAGGTTGTATACTCATGACTCAGTGCAGGACTGACAGCTGTACAATGCGTTGATGGCAGTATTCTACCAAAAACATTGTGGGATTTCCAGCAAAACACAGCATGTGCTTTTGGGACTTAACAAGCTAATGGATGACATCACAGTTTCTATGTCCATCTTTTATCGTGTCAATATTTACATCCATAGAATTGTCAACATTTCCCCATGAAGCAGCCCAGGAACATAAGGTGATGTCCTCAAATTTATTTATTTGTTGTTATTAAAACAGCATGCCAAAATCAAACTTCAAATCAAATTAAAATCCCTTCAGGTTCAGTTTTTGTTAATTATCAGCTCATGATTTCAGCTCTCTGGTGGTCTCTGAGATATTTCAATCTTTCACTATAGAACTACACAGCTAGTAACTCCAAAATGAAAATAATAAATCTCTAACAACAGCATTTACCTTTAAGAGAATAGTACATACATGGATTTTGTTATTTGCCCTGATATTGTATTCATTACATACATTCATTTTCCATCAGGCCATCAGACTGCTGAACACTTCATAGACACCTCACCTTCACTTACCACAACTTCTACACTATGCACTCCATACTGTATATAAATGCCACTTGTTTTGCACATTTCCAACTGCCAACCTCTGTATATTTTTTTTATTGTTTATTCCATTTAATTTTTAAAAAGTATAGATAGATAGATAGATAGATAGATAGATACACACACACACACACACACATAGATATATATATATTTAGTATACACATTCAGTAATGCACATACACTCTTATATTGTACATATATTATTCATATAATTCTCAGATTTACTCATTCTTATATTTTGCTTGTTCTTATGTTATTGTATTTTTGCACACCTCTGTTGCTCGTGGAGCTTGCACACAAGAATTTACTTGCATGTACCAGTGTACCTGCACATGTGATGCGACAATAAAAGTGATTTGATTTGATTTTGATTTCATGTCACCTAAAAGGTAAACCTGTTTGTCCATCACCTGTTCAGCTCTGATGATTCAGTAAGGACGTCTCCTGGTTTCATCTTCATGTTTCCCTCTCACCACATATCCAAACCGACATCATGACAGCAGCTTTACAGCTGTGGCTCCAGCAAACATCAGCTGATACTAGAAAGTAATATTAAATAAATTCTAACAACAGCTGATCAAACTTAAACGTGCTGCTGTTGTTTAGCGCAACATCCGCTGGTTTCCTCTTTCTGGTGCAAAATGGGCGATAAACAAATGAGAGAAAAGCAGATCAGCCAATCATTGATCAGTTTCACGACTGAAGTAGCAACAGGAAAGGAAGGGGATGAGAATGAGAGAAGAAGAAACAGCTGACAGCGTAAAGACGCAGAATAACTCCAGCTTTGTATCTTTTTCCATTCTAGCTGAAGTACGGGACAAACTGTTCCTTTTCGGCTTAATTCGAAACGCGTAATATTTTCTCTGAATACGGGACGATTAGGCTTTCTACGGGACGGTTGGCAACTCTACTAACTAACCTTATGAATAAAGTTCACTATCAGTAACATCATAGCACCCACCCAGCTGTATAGAAACTCCGTCATGCAAGCTAGTACACAGTACGAGTTATTGTAACTGTTATTGATTTGTTATTGACTGTAAAAAGTCAGCACAACGAAAATAAACTCCACCTAAACTTGGTTTATATCTGACCCAGATAGATTGCAGGTCATAACTTCTTACCTGAAGTTCAGGTCACCTGACACGCGGCCGCCTCGGATCTCTCCTCCTCCTGCCTCCCCTTTCCCTCATCCACCTGCTGGCCTCTGTGGAAGCTCCGGCATAGCCACCACCAAACAACTGAGTTATCTGACTAATCCACCACCTTTCATTGTTTATACCGTTACAAAAGAAACCAAACAAACAAAAAAAAAACATCGGCCCATAAAAACGAAAAATCACCATCGGCCGATGGCCAGTCCAGCTACGGTTGTGCCATCAGTTAACCCTTCAGTGCCTGTGGCACGCGTGCCCAGGGTTGCCGACCCCTGCACTAGAGAGTACGACGGAGTTACTGTCACGCTGCTGTCGAGGTTATAGGAGAGAGGAAGCGCCACGTCAAAGTCAGGATGGAGGCCTGTCACTACCACTGCTAACAGGCAGGAAGCAGTAGAAGTAATTGGGAAGAACTTCCTGCCCTCAAACCTGAGTGGGTTGTCTCAGCCGTCGCGTTGAGTCAGTCACCCGATAGGAGCTTAGATACACCGAGCTGTCAGTTCAGCTCTGAAGTAATCGCATACCTCCATTAACAAGCTGCTTATGCACCAAAAACCGTCTCTCACAGTGTGAACAAACACGCACGTAACGTGCTTGCAGTAGTTCCAGTGGGTCAGCTGATTAGCAGTCACCTTGTACCTTTCAATAATAATAATGCACTTATTATCGCCTTTTATACATGCTCTACTGGTGGAGCTGTGCCTTACTATGGAAGCTATTTCACACTTCTTTCTAATACATTTGCCTCATTGTGAAATCATTCTTCTGCTTTCCATTAACATAATTTTTCTGATGCCTGGGAAGAAAAAAAAACGGGCCATTTGGAATGCATTACCACCCCCCGTCACTGTGCTAATCAGCATAATATGAATTATTGCTATCATTACAGTGGGTGGCTGAGAAATAACAGTGGGTCTTAATTATTCAACAACGAGGAATAATAAAGGGAAAGCAAATGCACCTTTAGTTTGTGCTGCCAACAACCATTTCAGTTTGTATCTCCCTCCCCCTTTGGGAGAACAACTCAGCTGTGGTTTTCTGTTGTAGGAATCATTTCTAAGGTCATGTGACTGATGAGAATGCCCTGACCCTACCTGAATATACTCTGCGTGTTGTTTGTGTTGAAAGCTCAGCAAAGAAATTGTCAGAATAAGGGCCCAATGAAAATGTCCTCTGAAATAGGATTTTCGTGTTAGATTTATTGTTGTGTAATCATGATTGTTTCTGTGGCCAATAAAACGCCATCTTCTGCTTCCCTATTAACCAGCTGACCAATCATACCTTTTCTCCACTCTGTAGAGTCCACTGTGGACTTTACTTCATCATCATGGAATACAGCTGGCCATAGTGCTTGTTCAGCTCTGAAGAGCTGCTGTAAGTTAAGAACCACTCTAACTAGAACTGTTGCTATGCTAAGTTAACAGAGACTGCAAAGCAGAACAAGAACCACCAGCTGGAGTCAGTGACAGTCTAGTTGAGGGTTCCTGGCATAACTTCACTTACTTCCAAGGATAGAGGAAGGATAAGTTGAAATGTCCACAAGCAACAGTTGTATTTAAAGAAAAAAGCTTTAGTATATTGTTAGTTCCAAGCCGACTGTTGTCTGAGGCAGTAGTGTTAAATAAATGTATAAGGAGAGTGAAGAAAAAATATGCAGTGCATCATGGGGAGCCTCAGCCTATAGCAGGACAACAAAAGTTTGATTTATACTTGTGCTGAAAATCTATGTTGTAACCTACGACGTAAGCAGAGACCCCTCCAGTGGTGCAGGTCATGTTACATGGGTGGGTTAAAAGGAGTTTTCTGGTGACGTCAAAAAAATTTCCCACTGAAGCATACTTCAGGCATAAGAAATAGTTCTGGGTCACCCAATTCACCTCTAACTACAACCTTTGTCAAAAAGGAAAACTTCAATCCTAATCTTAAAAGTGGAGCGTCAGTGTCTGTCTCCAAACTAGGACATGACCTCACATTCTACTTTTAGAAATTCTAGGAACCAAAAGTTAGCTATCGGGATAGATGATACTCAAGGGTCTTTAAGAGATTTAAGAGAAACATTCACTAACATAGAACCAATATTTAAGTTTTGACCAAGTTGCAACTTGGGCGGAAAAATGAAGACAATGGGAAGACAAACTTACACTAACTTAAACCTAACTTGAGGCTGGCTCCAAAACCCATGAAAGGGCATCAAAGTCAGCTAAATGCCCAGCCAAATAGCATTAAAAAGCGTGTTACGTTCCCTATTCAGGGGATTGTGCAGCTTGACAACCATGCCTGCTGTCATTCACTAAAACTGTTATCCAAATGTAGTCACTTCTAACTCTTAAATCAATTAATAAAAAAAGAAATGGCTGTGGTCAAAATAGTGACTACATCTGTTTTTCA